AATATCTTTTTTAATAATTTTTCTTTCTTTATATACTGAAATACTGATCTGAACCGCATCAATTTAGCTAAGAACCGAACCGAACCGAAGATCGAAATCTTTTCGAAAAGTTGCGAAGCGAACCATGCCCATCATTGGTACAGAACCTAAAAATAGGTTTCGTAAGATATGGTTCTGCTACTGGGTAAAAGACAGAACACTTAAAAGGTTCTGTCGAAATTTTATCCTTTTTTTTTAGACTTTGGACACATTTGAATGCTTTTAGAAATCTACAGAACCTTTTCGGGGGGTTCTGCAAACCTCCTTTTTTTCTTTCAGAGCAGACAGACAAACGCATTTTTTTTTCATATGACCCTCCTTACAGTCGAGGGGAAAATCATTTTTTTCCTAAAAAAGTCTTTCTTTGTTCTAAAAAAATTCATCGGCATAAAAATTTACCTTTGAACAAAATTTGATATTTTCTAAACACCTTTGACTTCTCTTAATTAGGAAATCAAATTTTCTTAGTAACAATCTTTTACTATTTCATTTCAATTCATCCAAACTTCAAAACATGTTTCATTACATAAGACAATGTACTAAATTATCTACTACCAGTTACAGTATATGTCAGTTTCACATTTTAGCCCCATAGGGGCTGCGCTAACAAGATTTTTTTCCTAAAAAGTCTTTCTTTGTTCTAAAAAATATAAAACTGAGAATTTTAAAAATCCGGTCACTGATTCAGATTCCTTGATCGCGATTAGCTTCGATCAAACTTTATGAAAAAAAATTTTTTTCCTAAAAAGGTCTTTCGTTGTTCTAAAATATGTGAACTTTGAAACTCAAAATTTTCAAAAATTTGATCATGGATTCAGATTCCTCGACATCGATAACCTCTAGCAAAGGTTCATCAAAAGACTGAAAAACGTTAAAATAAGCTCACAGTTCATGGATATTTTTTGACATGCCACAAACACACACACACACACACACACAAAGACAGACAAACGGATTTTAATATTTTCATATGAGTCTCCTTCCAGTCGAGGGAATATGACCCTCCCTACAGTCGAGGAAACAAGAACTGATATAGTGGGTGTGGGTGTGGGTGTGATGTGTGCATTAGAATGAGCGAAAGAGACAATAGTGAACGAGAGAAAAGCGAAAAGAAAAGAGCAAAAGAAAAATGGCAAAAGAAAATATGTTGATGTGAAAAATAACGAAAAAAGAATGACACAAAAAATTATGGCGAAAACTAGGGTGGTGTAGGTGTGGATGTGACTGCGTGTGCAGGACGCATCAACACTCACACCCATATCCTTGCACCACCTGAAATGTTCATTCTCTTATTCCTCTGCTGCACAGTATAATGTAACCGTCGACAGCGACTCACATTTCACGTTTTCGCTTTTCTGTAGGCAGTCATTCATAAATGAATGATAGAAACATATCTACACTGCAACTTCGGCATAAACTCATCTTTACAGCTGCACCCATACAATACAGACACTCTATAATGCATCATTTTTATTCAAGGATTTCCAAGTCAAAATGAAGCAACGTAAAATAAGTTCCGAATACCCCGTGCTTATACGAACAAATTTAGGTGCTTGAGCGTCTTACATAGAAAAGAATATATGCATCGCGTGTATTTCTTTCGATCACTTCGTTTTTTGATATAGGGCAGGTGTAAGAATCATCACAGTAATACCATTGACCAGAAATCGAGCGTTTCACATAAGCTGTTGTATGGCCGTTTGCTCGCGTACCTGAATGCAAGCATACGCCGACCAAATCATACATGGTAACAGGACGCTTCTCGCGTCTTGGTAATAACAAAAAGGGGTTCATATCAAGTTCTAGTGGATATTTAACTAGCCTCTCTACTTTGGTAGTTGTAGAATAATTGAAATGAAATCGTTTAAGCTGAATGACAAGAACTGGTGGAGTTGAGACGAGACGATTTTGTTTCGAAGCATTACTCGTTCGTCCACATTGCGAACAACACCACACACTAGAGGGCGACAAATATTCGCGAACAGCTATATTGGAAAGACACTGCTCAAGTGTTGTGCTGCTACTGCTCATTTCTGGATACCAGGAACTAGCTGTGACATATGTAGTTTCTTGAATAAGTGATTTTTTCAAAAGTTTTGAATGTTTGAAATCTTCTTTATCGCACCAAACGGTAATGTTGCTTTCGAAAATGCATATGTGAGATTCTGAAGTAACTTTAATGTCTCCAGAAATATCCTTGGTATAATTCCCTAAATCTAAAAGATTCTTCAAATGCTTTTCGATTGTTTTGGCGATACTACGACGATCATTACAATTTTTCGGAACTCGAATCACTGTTGGAGGATGAATAAAACCAGAATGCGTCGAAATCCGATCTGCAAAACGTAGAACAGCATTATTATACTGTGAATCACCTGTAACCGTTTCATAGAAAAGTGTTGTTTGATCATTGATTTCAGATAGAAGTGTCGTATCAGAATAAAAACTATCAAATTCGTTTTTTTTCGTTGATTATCATGGCACGAACACAACAGTTTGGTGATGGTTGAAGTTTGTCATCGAGTAATTTGATTGTATCATTGCTGGAAAACGAAATGTCACGTATTTGTACATGACCCTCAAGATTGATATAACGAACGTGAAGCACTCGTGAATCCCTTTTTGTAGAGGATCGATTTTCTGTTTTATCTTCAATAAATAGTGACAGAGTATAGAACGGATCGGTATCCACCTTTTCGTAACTGCAACCAGGCTGTAAACATTTTATGGTATATTGCATTTGGCCTTCGAAGAGATCTGAGATGATGGAACGATCATTGGCATTGATCGTTTCTTCGATCAACGCCTCCAAAACCACAGTCAGTAATTCGTGTGAGTCTTGCTGTTCATAGCCGAGAAATTTTGTAGTATATTTTCCAACAGCCGCTTTGAAAGAGCTAGGATCTACCGGTGAAGATTTTGGATTTTTTAAATCTTCTACTAAGTTTGCAAACGATTTCGATAGGCGTCCACTGTTTCTGAGAAAGCTTGATTGACGAACGGCGTCAATCAATGGAAACGTACTGTTGAGGCATTGGAGAATTCCATTCATAAAACAAGTATTACCTAGATTTCGCAGACCACATATTTCTTGCATGGATTTAGTAGATGCGTTGTTGGAATGTTTTGCCATTATGATGGTAGAATGAGAAAGAGACGATGATGTTCTATGAATGGTGACAGAACGGTAAATATTGTTTGCATCTTTTATAGTTAAGAATGGAAGACATATGTTGGAAATTTATGCACAAAAAATTCTCCAAACTCTTTGTGGGAATATTTGAATCTTTTATGTAAAGACAAAAACGTATAAAGTCATATGACGCTTGTAACGATAATAATGACTAATGTTTGCTTATGAGAAGCATTCTTTTTACATATTTAGTAAATTCATGTTTTTTCTATGTTGGCAAAGTTCAACTCCACATTGAAAAGGTAAATAATTCGATTCCTTATGTCAGCAAAATGACTAATAAGAAGTAATGGCCTTTGTTTTTTTAACATATGATTGGAAATTTCCGTTGTTTTATTTTAAATAAATAGTCCACTCTGTCACTGTTTAACAGTTTATTTTCGTAGTTGTATCCTCAAGATTTACGTGAGTATTGAGTTCTGTCTTGAAAGTTCATGAATGTTATATTGATTTGTAGTTTTCAGTGTCAGCATATCCGGTATAATTTTATTGTTTTACTGGTAATAATGAATGTTATATTTGAATCACAAATTGGAGAAATTAAGTCGGGTTCATTAACATCAAATTTTACGCGATCGGAATTTATGTCGCTTGCCCAGAGATTATTCGGATCAATAAACGGCATGAAATTTTTAATTAAAGGCAAACAAATCAAACTAGAAAATGATAATGACTTCAATCGTTACAAAAATTATTTTTCTAATGATTGTGTTATCAAAACGGCTAAAGCAATGATTTCTGGTTATCCACCACTTAATCAACTGATTAGTGAAATTTCTCTAGAAGCTGCAGCAGCGTTCAGCACAGTAAATAAAACTAGTAGCAATGTTCAATGCTCGACCTGCATGGAATCAAAACTATGTATTCAATTCAGCTGTTCTGAATGCTCAAAATCGAACATTCTATGTGCTACATGTGCCTACCGAAACTTTAAAACAAATGATTTGACTTTCATGTGTATATCATGTAACAAAAAGGTTGACTACAATCGTATTTTTACTAATTCACAATCGTTTAAAAGAAAATATTCTACTTTGCAAGATATGTATGATATGTGCAGGAATATTGATTGCCAAATTTGTCGTTGTGGTGAATTCCATGTAAATGAGACTCTGTTTAGCAAGCAAAGTTGTTCACGATGTGCCCGATGGTTTTGTTTTTTTTGCAACAAGACATGGGACGATACTCTGATGACTAACAATAAATACACATGTCACAATAACTGTACTTATGAAAATGCTACAACCTACGAAGAAGTTCCAATCAATCATAGTACCAAAATTCGAGAAACACTGCCGAATCGTCGAACGTGTCCTGAGTGTAAAACCCTCGGTTGTTATGGAGGCGCTTCCAAAATGCACACTTGTCTGAATTGCAGACATCAATTTTGTTTCATATGTTTGCGACCACAATCTAAGTGTTCATACAATTCGGACAAGGAATGCAAACTTCTTTCGCAAACATACGGTATATTTCCGAAATCAACAGATTAAAGACAATTATTTTTGCGTGCCGCACAACTAATTGAATTTCACCTTTGTTTGCAAATTAAAGAGAGCAAGAAAGTTATCAAATAAAATGAAACTATCAGACATTCTGTACCGCATCCTTTCATAGGATGTTGATTATTGATGATTGTTTCAAAGGATGGCAATTGCAGAATATCGAGTGACGAAAGGCCCACATTAATACGAATGTAAGTCTCTAAAGATAGATAATAGGCTTGAGCATGAGTATGAATGTGGTCTGTGGGGTGTGTGGTGTGACTCTGTGTATGTGTATCATAGTTGATGGAAATGCAGACATCGTTGTGTGCAGTTGCCAATGTGAATATGTAGGGATGAACATGAAAATAGTCTTTGATGCACATGCGCACAAGCCCCAATCCAAACTGATATCCACGCTCTCACCTTTCATACATTTTTTAAAAGTTTGAAGAGGCGACTAGAGATGAACATAGGGGATCTGAAAAATCTTGCGGATATGATAAGATATCCTTTAGAATGTTTGTCTGATGGAAAAAAACATTGAAAACGAATCTGTTATTTCAATTGACAACTTACTTTATTTAAATCAAGGCGACTCCGATAATGATGATTCTTCAGATGACACCCATTCGCCAATTAATGAAGCAAGTTATTGTAGGAGAGGAAGATAATTTAGATATCGTGCCCAAATATCCCACATGTCGAATCGAAGGGGAAAGCAGTCTCTGGATCCTCAAATCATAGGATCCTGATGGTTGCTGGTCATTTCTGGTGGATTCTGATGAATCTTAGAGTGGCTTCATTGTTTTGTAACGAAGTTCATTAGAACTTATCAAGATGCTTTAGAATTTACGAAAATCTATTACTATTCGCAGACGGCCACCCAAAATAAGGGAAAATGGTGGATCCTAATCGATCTTAGAGTAGTTTGACTACTGTACATTCAAGTCTAGTAGAGCTTAAGCCCACCCCCTCAGAAAAGCCGATTTTTCGAAAAAAAACGAAATCGAGTTTTTATCATAGGAAGATTCCCCGTGATCTTCTCTTTCAGAATTTATATAATTATTTGAAAAAAGGTTAAGTTTTGACAGACTTATTGAAGAAATACTCTTTCATTTCCCTTACTCCCACACACTTTTCTAAAAATTCCTAAATGTTGGTCTGGAAAAATGTGTCTAAAAAAGAAAAATTGGTATAAG